CCTTCCAGGACTGCTGCGGGGACTGTGAGCCAAGTGCCAGAGCCAAGCAGCTCCTGGGAGTCGGGAAAAGAGTGGGCAGGCACACGGAAGAAGGGGTCATTTTGTTGCTGGTGGGAAATGTCAAACATCACCTTCTCCTGCTGCTTCAGATTTGAGGTGGCTCACAGCGGCTCTTGCTATGGCTTTCCTTCTCCTGCCTCTCACGGTGGCCTCGGCCCCTCTTTGGGGGTGACCACTCCCTCTGCCCCTCCAGCTACCCTTCACCCGCCTTGGCAGGACCAGGGCTCATGGGTCCTGTCCCGGCCAGATGTGCTGGCGGCCCCTGTCCGGAGCTCGCCTGCTCCCAGCACAGTCCTGGTATCCCGCGGGCCCGGGAGGCAGGAGTGATGTGTGTGAGGCCAGCGGGAGCAGGGCCATGCGTGAGGACCACTTTCAGGAAGAGAGGCCCTCGCCCTTCCTCTGGCATGGTTCTCTTTGCCCCTACTTGAGCCTCAAGGTTGGAGGAGACTGAGAACAAAGTCCATCTGGGCACTGGGCTTGGGCCACAGTGACAAGAGCTGTCTGTGAGCTGAGCCCAGCCGGCAGCCTTTGTGGACGGGGCCTGGTGGGCCTCCCAGGTGGCTCGCAGGACACCTCCTGGCGCTCCTGCGGAAGGAGGGTCTGTTCCCATGGCAACAACTGCGCTTCCCTCAGCCAGTGCTGCAAAGCAGAGACCTCTGAAGAATGAATTTTAAAGCCTGGATTGTAAAATATTTATCTGCACTCGGAAGAGGCTGTGTCCCTCAGCTTGCTACACACAGTGGAGTGGGCCGTGGGGCTGGGGCCCAGCCGTGCCTTGCCCAGGCACAGGACAGGCAGGCCGCTTCCCCAACAGCTCCTTGGTTCCTGTGGGGAGCATGTACATGCTGGCTAGGATGGCCAGGAGTCGAAGTGGCTGTCCTTTTACCCACATTCTGCTTTAAGAGCTGCCTGCGTTAGGGGAGAGTGGCCTTGGCCTCCCATAGCCCATCACCCTGGAGAACGTGCAAGCCAGTCTTGCTCAGTCCAGGTACCCGGCCGGAGGCCCTCACGTTTTTGTCCAAATATCAGCTTTGGAAATACCTCTGCAACAAATTTGTGAAAAACAGCAACCCACCCCTTCCTGCCCTTCCTGCCTATCCCCACTCCTCGGCCTCTCAGTGTCTCCCTGACTCCAGTGTGCTCAGGGGCATTTCCTGCTTCTCCCAAATGGGGAAGGGGCTGAGAAGGCCCTGCAGGGCCCCAGGCTCCTCTTCTGGGCACAGTGGGGCGAGTCCCCTGGCTGCTGTGTGCAGGGAGGCTGTCGGGGGTCCACGTCAGAGCCTGGGAGGGGAAGCTGTTGTTTATGGGCAGGTTTGGGCAGTCAGGAATTTGTGCTTTGATTTTCTTACAGCAACAATGTCTTCATGTGGCTGTGGGGCTGATGCTGGCCCTGCAGGGAGGCCTGGCACCCCCAGGGCCCTGCCAGCTCTGTCCTTCCTCTAACTGGTGCACACTTGGGGTTCAGACTTGGGGATTGTCAGAAAGGCCACCAGAATGGGTTTTCTTGAGCTGCACAGAGGGAGCCGTCTGGATGGGATGTGGACAGGGTGGCTTTTACCACGTCAGACTGCTGACAGTCTTGCTCTTGGAAAAGCCCTCCAATAAGACGACTGTGTTGACAGATTCCTGCTGGTGGTTTCCTCCCTAATTACCTCTGTAAGGGCTGGACCCAGAGCTGCCATCTCCTTTAGGAACCAGACATGGGGCTGAGTACCTGTCTGGGAGCTGGTCAGGGCAGGTGGTTAGGGGAGGTCCTGGCCCCGCCACAGAGAAACTTGAGACCCTCCTGGGCTGCGAATAGCAGGCCCCAGGGGAGCGACCTGGGCAAGCCCTGGGTTTGCTCCTCCCTGGCCTGGGCCGAGTTGCAGGGTGGGGGCATGTAAGCTGTGGTGGTGCTTACTGTCATGGTCAAGGCTCCCACCCCAGCTGGGGGTCAGGAGCCAGGTAGGAACCTGTTTGTCAGGGTGGGCAGCAGGCGTAGGGGTGCCCCATGTAGTCCCCTGGTACCCTGAGGACTGAGGCAGTGTCTGGGCAGAGGTGCCTGGGAGGCAGCTGTCTGGGAGGGTCTTTGGTGGGGATTGCCATGTGTGCCCTGCCCAGGGACTCCACTCTGCCTGCCTCAAGGTGTCTGCCAGCCACATCGGGGATTCCCGTCTCACCCGGGACTTCTCTGTGCCCGTCTGGGGGCCACGGTCTGGGACCCCTGTCCGTGTGGCTGCCCTCCTGGTTAGGTATAGTGTTAAGGTGAGATTGCGGTAAACTACAGAGTCAATCTTAAAGCAGGAGATGGAAGCTTTATTCACCACTTGGCGGTCCGGATCCACCAGCTGTGGGCCATGGGCAGGCTGCAAGTCTACACCCTGTGACCCCCTCCCGGGGTTTGAGTCCACCTCTTATAGCCCAAAACCCTGTTAGGTCATAAGTGGCTGTTGCCGTGTTGCTATGACCATAAACGTCATGAGATCTAAACTCATAAGCAGGAAAGGAAGTGGGCCAAAACCTCCGTAGTTGAGTATAAGTTAAAGAATGGTTACTGACATGAAGACTGTAAGAGAGAACACTTTCACATTGTGCAAGAATTGCCACTGTGGGTTGCCAAGCGTGCTGTGCGAGGCAGCGGGTGATGGGTGCAGAGGTGGGCTTTCCCTGGCAGAAGCATGCCTTCCAGGACTGGAGTCTCAGGGCCAAACGGTGTCCGTTTGGTCATTGCCCGTATAGCCTGGCCCATAACAGCAGGAAGTGGGCAAAGTCGTGCTCAAAGCCACAGACCCTGATGGCCTGGGTTGCTGGCACTGACTGCACCCTCCCTGCCCTCACCGGAAGCTGAGGGCTGGCGGGAGGCCACAGGCCAGCATCCAAGCCAGCAGCACACACCCGCTCACCTGCCGGTTGCTGGCACAGCTGGCTCTGTGCCCACAGACCGCGCCAGCTCTCCTTCCCCGAGAGCTCTCCTTGCCAAAACCCTCGGTGGTGACACGCCGCGGGTGTCTGAGCGTGCAGCGAGAAGCCTGGCGGGGACTCCCTTACGCCCCAGACCTGCTGCTCCGTGTGTTTCATTTCCCGTCCTTCTCTCCAGCAGACTCAACTTGGAAACTAGTGTTTCTTCCCTAAAAATGGTGTTGGTCTTGGCCAAGTTCCCGTGGCTCGGTGCTCGAGCTCTGCCTGTGCTAGCTGCAGCGGGCTGCAGGGCGGGACTCCAGCCAACTACCCTAGGGCAGGAGGATGCCCACCCCCTGCCTCCTTTAAGCTGCAGTGGGGCTGAGTGACATGGTCAGGTGCTCCTGCCCCAGCTAGGTGGTCAAGAGCTTGTGCACCAGGGTGGCTCCGCAGGTGGTCCCCCTCCCAGGTGGTGCTGGACTGGATTCCAGGCACCTACTGGGCAGGTGGCTGGGACTGTGGCCCAGTGATTCCAGCTGTCCCTGGAGGTGGCATGAGTGTCCTGCTGCGTCCTCAGCACTGTGGAAAGGGCGAGGCTTTTGTCCAACCACAGACTTGCAAAGCGTCTGGTGCCTCTGTAGGAGCCTGGGAGCATCTGGGCAGCATCAGCTGGCCTGGTGTGGACTGGGTGGGTGGAGGTTCCTGGCTCAGAGCTTCCCAGCACAGACATCACCCCAGGCTGCATGGCTGCCAGCTCGGCCCTGTGCCCTCCTGGACACTGTGTTGTCCTCCTCCGCAGTGCAGACACAAAAGCCAGTTCTGTGCTGGCCACCAGTCCCTGGGCTGCTCCTCCCGAGGACCCCTGGACGCTTCCTGAGTGTGAGCCGTGCTGGCCCCCCTCGTCCTGTCAGCACTGGCACAGGTTGCCAAGCACGAGAACAAAGAGGTCCCTTTAGAAAGACCCCAGTGAGGGCCAGCAGCAGGCCGTGCCCTCCAGGGTCCTCACAGCCCCGCGGGGTGATGTCCCCCGAGGATGGCTCTTCTCTGGGCTGGCCTCCTGCTGGACTCACTGCTGGCCGGTGCCCACGGGGTCCCTCTCTGCCACCTCCCAGCCTCTTGCTTCGCTCTTCCTCATGCCCCCGTCAGTCAGGATGGAAGGCGTGGCCTCCCCTTGTACCTGGCCGACTCGGAATCGTGCCAGGCAGCGCAGTGTGCTTCCCTGCCAGGGCCCCATTCTCAGGGACTGTGGGACGAAGGGAAGGCCACTCCTCCGAGCCTGACAGGGACACAGCTGGAGGGAAGTGGAGCGAGAGGGCACATGGCCTCGGTTCTCTCTGTGGGATGAGGGCCCTTCCCTGGGGGCTCCTGGCAGCCCTACACCTTCCTTGCTCCCTGAAGCACCCCTTCCACCCACCCGGCGCCACCCAGGCCCGTGTTGCACTAGCAGCCTCACCCACAGCAAGGGCCAAGGCACGTGCCTGCCCTCGTGGGCGGGGGCCCTGGGGTTCGGACTGGGTGCTGGGCAGGCTGGAGGGCCTGTCCCGAGGCTGCCTGCGCCCAGTTCTGAAGGGCGTCGGGCTGTGGGCAGCCTCGGGCTCAGGGCAGGGCTGAGGGACGTCTCAGGGCCTCACTTGGGGTTATCCTCACCACAGCGTGTCCCTCACCAGGGCCGTGGTGATTAGCAAGCCCCCTGCAGGAGGGGTGCTGTGGACCCTGCAGGAATGACCAGGCCCTGCAGAGCCTCTCTGTTACTAATCATGGGCCCTCACAGCCCCCCAGGCCTGTCCAGTAGGGCCAGCAAGACGGACACTGTCCCACTCCTCTGTACAGGAGAGTGGGGGACAGCAGGCTCCCAAGGAGAGAAGGGTTCCCTGGCTCCCAGGCCTGCCTGTCCATGCACCTGTAAATCTGGGGACTGTAGGTGGCCTTCCGTGGGGGTTGCTGATGGCAGGACTACAGGGAGGGAGTGGTCTGATGCTCAGGGCAGCGTTTCCTCTTGGTCACCTGTGTCCTGGTGTGGGCCTTCGGGCCACCTCACCTGCATCCTCTGTTCCATTCTGCAGTGAACTTCGACCACTTCCAGATCCTGCGTGCCATCGGGAAGGGCAGCTTCGGCAAGGTAAGGCGGGGCCTCCCCGGGGGCCTGCAGAGGGCGGGGACTCGCTGGGCCACGGAGCTGGGCAGCTGACCACCCTCCTTCCTGCTCCTTTTCTCTCCTGGAGAAACCAGCTCCAATGGGCAGTGTCAGGGAGGGCACGGAGGCCCGGGATGTCCGCGTGGGCCCTCTGGGGTCTGGTAGCCCAGCCACTGGAGCCTGGGTGGCCACGTGAGAGGGCCGAGGCTGATGCCCACACCGGGGCACTGAGGTCCACCCTGGACTGAGGGCTTCCTCCAGGGAGGCGGTGGCCTGGGCCTGAGGGGAGAGCGTTCAGAAAGGCTGCGTGGTGTCCAGAAGCCCCTGTGAGGCTCGAGGCTGCCGTTGACCACACTGGAGCCCAGGGCCTGACGATGACTGGACCGAGGTGGGTGGCCCCCCAGAGCCTCGCTCCTCCAGTCCCTCTGGGCCAGCTTCCTGGTGACATCCTGCCTTGTGATATCTAGAGATGGGGCGTAATTTTAACTCCGCCAAGCCCAAGAGCACTCTGACAGCGGGTGGCACTGGCCTGGGGGTGGCACTGGCCTGGGGGTGGCACTGGCCTGGGGGTGGCAATGGCCTGGGGGTGGCTGCTGTGCTATGCATGAATCACTTTGAGTGGACGCCTCCCTCCTGTCCCCACAGCTGTCAGGACACTGCCTGTTTAAGCTTCGCAGCCCTTTTTAATAAAGGGATCGCTGTGCTGCCAGAGCCCCTTGCAGGGGATTTGAAGGCGATTCATGGCCTCCATTCCGTCTACCAGGAGCCAACGCCTGTGCACTGCTGCAGGGTGATTCTCAGAGCAGCTGAGCCCCTTGGCACAAATTCATGGAAACGCACCCAGGAGAGACACCAAGGAGAGGCACTGTTGATGTCTGCCGGGTCCGGAGGTGGCCACGGCCCCTGTGGTGTTGTCGTTTGTGGAGGTGGTGACCCTAGGGTGAGGTTGTCGGGGACGCTGAGGTCCTGTTTTCCCAGTGGAGCACAAGCTGTGCCCCCAGTCCACAGGGGGGGTGAGGAGGCACCAGGGTCAGGCAGGTGGGGATGCCCCTCAGCCCTGCGGCAGAGGACAGTGGCTCTGGCCAGGTTCAGGAGGAGTGGCTGAGAAGGGGAGTCCAGCACCAGTCGTTCAGAAACCCTTCAGAAACTGAGGGGTGCTGAGCTGCCTAGAGAGGGCCAAGACCACCTGGTGGGCGAGGCCAGAAGGCGAGGCCAGTGGGCAGGGCAGGTGCTGTTCTCTGAGCTGCCTAGAGAGGGCCAAGCCGGCCCCGAGAGCCAAGACCATCTGGTGGGCGAGGCCAGTGGGCGAGGCCAGTGGGCAGGGCAGGTGCTGTTCTCTGGGGTTCTGCGCCCCCACCTGCCCCTGGTGGTCTTTCTACTCTCAGGATGCCCTCCCCTCTACTGCCCCTGTGCCCCTACCAGGGCACTGTCCCTGTCCTCACTAGCACAGCTGGGCAGCCCTCTCCTCCGCCAGGGTCATCTGAACCCGTGTTCCTGTGCCTCTGACCAGTTCTTGGCTCTGAACAGGCAGCTGGCCAGGAGATGTCGCTGTAGGGGGCGAGGAGAGCAGGTGCTGGGTTTCTTGCAGATGCAGTTTAGTGGGACAGTGCGAGGCTCCTTCCTGCCCGAGCAGCTGCCTAATGGGGCGTCCAGGGTCTCGGGCTGCTGCTCTCAGGTGGGTGTTTGGGATGTGTGCAGGGTGGGGCCTGTCCCAGGCCCAGTTTGTCCTGCCTTCATCCTGCCGTGGCAGGACAGTGGCCTCATGACTGGGGGGAAGGGGACTTGGAGAGGCAGCCCCGGGGAGTCCAGCAGGCCCTGTTTATATGGCTGTGCCTCAGTGGGACTGTCTCCCTGGAGGGGGGTGCAATCCTGCACCCAGCACCCCACCTACCACAGCTCTGCAAGAGGGTGCATGAGCCTGCAGCACCCCAAAGTAGGGT